TTATTATTCTTATTATTATTCTTATTATTATTCTTATTATTATTCTTATTATTATTCTTATTATTATTCTTATTATTATTCTTATTATTATTCTTATTATTATTCTTATTATTATTCTTATTATTATTCTTATTATTATTCTTATTATTATTCTTATTATTATTCTTATTATTATTCTTATTATTATTATTCTTATTATTCTTATTATTCTTATTCTTATTATTCTTATTATTATTTTTAGTATTATTATTATTATTATTATTATTATTATTATTATTATATCAATAAGTGGACGTTTAGTCTATAGATTTAGAATCATAATTTAGAAGCATTCTCGATTTATGTGTGTTGTCAGTGTAAAAAAATACTATAGCGAACTACGAACTATAATTTGAATCATGGCACGAATACACTAACTAAACGTCCTATAAATATGTGAGTAGAGAGAGCATAGCAGAAAATAACGAGTTTTCATATTGGTGCCCGGCCAAGTCATTTGAGATATAAATGTAAACCTTAGAATTAGTTGTTCCTTCATCTTTTAGTTAATAAAATAAAAAGAAAAGAAAAATTAGCAATAGGCTTGAAGCTGCAGGGGGACCAAAAGATTAGCAATGGAGAGGAGGAAAAAAAAACAGAAAAAAATAAAAATAAAATAGCAGAATCTTTCCACAAAGTTGATAACGTATTGTTTAAATTACATAAATTAATCAATGCCGAATAACCAAGGACTAATGCTAGAGACATTATTTAGAGACCCAGCTAATTTTGTTTTTTTTTTTTCAGAAACAAAAAATGATAACAAAAATAAAAATAAAGAACGGAAAGAGGCTTCGTTTTTGCTTGAGAAGAACTGAAAATTTCTTCCAAGAAAAAAGTATACCGGGAGAAGCGGTGAAGAAATTAGAGAGGAAATTACATCCTGCAATGCCAAGGATTTTGATTTAATAATTGGAAATTAAAATAAGCTTCCCTTCTCAGCAACACTTGTAGATTATTTGCATATACGCAATCACACAAGAGCCCGCGATGTGCAATATTGCAAATTAAAGACAATAACAGTACAAAGAGATAATACCCAGATAATTAAGGAAGAAGCTAGCACAAATTTTCATACTATGTGTATATATATATATATATATATATATATATATATATATATAAACTAGCAACCTTTACGTTTGTATGGATCGTAAGTTTCCTTATGCTTCTTGTCGGGATTCGGAAGGCAGTCGCAAATCCGTCCCGGATTTTTGACTTTTGATAGTTTTAGTCAATGACATAAATTTATGTATGATTTTTAAAATTTAACATAGGTAATTTCAATATTATCTTTTAAAAGTTAATAGTTTTACAAAAATAATTACAGTAAGTGTAAAAATATTGTAACTTTCTAACATGTTTTAATAGTTACAAAGAAAACTTTCACGTACAATATCACTCCTTCGGTAAGATTTTAAATTATTGCATTGATAAACACACAAATTATCTTTGTTATTTCAAAAGTGCTTGTTAGTCTCTAGAATTAAAACTGTCAAAAAATGAAAATGAAAATTTTTATATGTAATATGTTAAAAAAAATGAAAGAGGTTGATGCATGTACGTGAATGACAAAAGACTTTAAATGGATTTTAATCTATTTTAATGAAAAGAAAGATGACAGGCTGACAGCTAGAATAGAATAGATTAAGGACCCGTTTAGTTCGCTGATTCGAGTTTTTAATTCGAGTTGAGATGTGATTTTATGTGAGAGTTTTTTTACTGTAATAAAAAAGTTAAATGTAACTGTTTTTATGAGCTTTTTACTATAGCAAAACTCGAATTCCAAAACTCGAATTGATGAAAAGAATTAGGCCTAATTAGGTAAGGTGCCGTGTACTCACCAGGCCAAAGTCGTGAATTTATTACTGTTAGTTCTTTTTATGCGTTTAAATTTATGATTTTAATTCTGTTATAGTATTTTTTGCTTATAAAAATTTGAATTTTAATATGGTTCGTATGTATTGCCATATTAGAGACACCTAATAATTTATTATTTATTGAATAACTAGAAATGCATTGATACAATCATTCAAGAATTTTTTAATTTATTTTAAAAAATGTGTAAAGGTAACCTTTGATATCATATAAATTACATGAAAAATCATTAAATAGAGACATATTTAAGGAAAATTATTTTAATCATTGATAAAAAATAAAATAAGAACACAAATAGAAAAAACTACTCTTATAAGAGTAAAATGAAAAATATATATATGTATTTTTAAAAAACACAAAAAAAATTAAGATGTAAAAAAAATTCACAAAGGAAGAAAAAATGGTTAAAAATAAAAGGAAAAAACATAAGAGGTAAGATGATCATAAAAAAAAACTTTTGAATAAAACACGTTGTAAAAAAGTTAAAATATTCAGGAGCATAAAGTACTTGAGAAAAAACCAAAACGATAATTGGAAAAAAAAGTAAAAAGAAAAAAAAGAAGAAAAGAAATGAATAAAAGTTAAAAGAAAGAGAAGAAAAGAGTCGAGACCATGCTGGCCTCTTCTGGTGTAAGAAGTAAAAACTTTCATCGTCTCTTTTATGCATGTTAGAGATTAGAGATTAGAGATTAGAAATTAAAGATAGAGATTGGAGATAGAGATAAGATGTAGGAAAAATAATTAAGTTGTAGAGGAGTTTTTAAAATTTAATTTTTTTGAAAGAAAAGCACGGTAACAAAGCCTTTAGAGTTTTAGCCTACTTTATATATTTTGGACTTCAAATAACTACATATTTGAATAAAGTATGTTTAAAACCACATAAATTCTCAAAATAAAAAAATATAAAGCAAACTATTTAGTGGAGGTGGTGGGACTACTTGGGTGTGACGATGCAGGTGGGTTTTTATTGTTCTCGATGAGGCATCAACATTGTTTTCGTTCGTTTTAGTAAAGGATGCATTATTTTGAGGACCCGTTTAAAAAATATATTTAAATTATGATTTTTAATTTTTATGTTTAAAATTTAATTTTTAAAAAAAAATACGGTAATAAAATTAATGATTTAACTTTAAATATATAAAACAAGCGAGCTTTTAGAATTTTAAACCCTAAGATATTAAAGAATGGTCACATCGAAATTGTTATATAATATAACGCATTAGAGACAATGATTTGTTTGAAATTGTCATTTAATATGCATACAATTTTTCGAAACACAAAGATCTCCCTATCGTATTTTTTAGTGCTTCCTCAAAAACCATCATTAAAGATATGTTATGCAATCTTAAGATTATATTGGTGTTAGCATCAGGTACAGTCAAGACTTGTTATACACTCCTGAGAGAGGGGAAAGATATCTGGTACCGGTAGTTTCATCACAGATTAAGTTTATATGCCCATTTTTTTTGCCTCATTCCTTCCGTGTCCTTTTAATAATAACATGTTACATTATAATTTTTGAATTAACATTATAAAAATTTTTAATTTACGTGGCATTTTAATAGATATGTCACAATATTATTGGAGAAACATAAAAAGAGATAAAAATAAATGGACACAAAAATAAGCATATGATGACAAAGGTCATTGTATCTTGACAAAGTCAGAACAATTAATTTCCATGGAAAAAAAAGGGTTGAAAATCACTAGTAACGCGGACAGTACTGGACTCTCTAGAGTCAAGTACGCTTGATTTCCTTCTTCATTAGCCGGCCCTGATTCCATCTATGGACGTATTACTGCAGGTTCCAATATTTCTCTTCTGGTTGTAGTACTGTGTCTTGAATATATAACCCGTTCTCCTTGTACGAATAATTACACCTGCAACATCTTTTCTCTTCAAAACGGAGAGATGAGCTTTTATCTCTTCTTCACCCTTCACATACTCACATATGTCATCGCCGGCGGGCAATCCGACATAACCCTCGACTGTGGCTCTTCAGGAAACGGCACGCGGCTAGGTGACACTCGAAGCTGGGCGGGAGACATCAGCTCCAAGTTTTTCCCCTCGGAAGGCGAAAATAAAAAATCAATCGCCTCATCAGCGACTTTTGATGATCACACGGTAACTATGGAAGTTCCTTACACAACAGCGCGGCTTTCCCTATCTGCATTCACGTATGTCATACCCGTGACCCCCGGGCCGAAGTTCATACGGTTGTATTTCTTACCGGCTAGATACGAGAACTATAACAGCTCCAAGGCCTTCTTCTCCGTCGAAGCTGATGAATACACCCTCTTAAGTAGCTTCAGCGTTGATCTTACTGCTGGCGCCCTTAGAAGAAAAGACTTAATGAAGGAATTCTGCGTGACAGCATTCAGGTCAAGTCTGAAGATAAAGTTTTCTCCTAGTTCTTTAATTCCAGATGCTTTTGCGTTTATCAATGGAATTGAAGTCGTGTCCATGCCCACTGATCTCTATTACTTGAAGGGCGCCCATGATGGCATTACAATTGTGGGAGAAAAGTCCCTTTACTTCTTGAGTAACAACACCGCCGCTCTTCAGATGATGTATAGAGTTAACATTGGTGGACAATTTCTCTCTCCAAATCGGGATACTGGTTTTTTCCGAAGTTGGGAGGGCAAGGATGATTTATATTTGACGATACCGGGATCGGGTCTTCTGCCTGTTGAGACCAATTACACTAAGTTTAACTTCACAAAAATTCGAAATTATATTGCACCGGTCGAGGTTTATCAGACCGCCTGCACGATGGGGAACGATAAAGAAGGTAACAAGAAGTACAATCTCACCTGGGAGTTCCCCGTAGATTCGGAATTTTATTACATGGTAAGGTTGCACTTTTGTGAGATTCTTGAGGAGGTAAACTCAACCAATAATCGAAACTTCGGCATTTTTATAGCAAATCAAATCGCGGAGGAATATGCCGATGTGGTCGAATGGACTGGAGGTAAATATATACCTTATTTTAGAGACTACATCGTTTCGATGTACGGAGGTGAGAAGAAATTAAACCTCTCTGTCGCTCTACAAGCACACGATGCCTGGCTCAGTGCTTATGCTGATGCAATTTTGAATGGGGCGGAGATCTTCAAATTGAACGACACAAAAGGCAACCTCGCTGGTCCTAATCCTGATCCAATTCCTCAAGATCCCTCTCCAAGCCAGCAAGAGGAGATCGAGGCAAAGAAGAGTGATCGAACAACAATCATAGCAATCCTCTCCGGTGTAGTTTCCGGCGTAGTTTTACTCTCCGTCCTCGGATTCTTTACTCTCCGACAAGCAAGAAAAGTCAAAGACTCAGCCTCTAGAGAAGGAACTACTCGAGGCTCGCCATCCTTACCGTCTGATCTTTGTCGTTACTTTTCGTTGGCTGAGATCAAAGCCGCCACTAACAACTTCGAAGATATTTTCATCATCGGAGTGGGTGGGTTTGGAAACGTGTATAAAGGGTACATCGATAATGGAACCAATCCCGTCGCCATCAAACGACTAAAGTCCGAGTCATCCCAAGGGGCCCATGAGTTCAAGACCGAGATCGAGATGCTCTCTCATCTCCGTCACCGCCATCTCGTCTCTCTAATCGGCTACTGCAACGAGGACCGTGAGATGATCCTCGTCTATGACTACATGGCACGTGGAACTCTCCAAGGTCACCTCTACAACACCGAGAACTCACCACTGATGTGGAAACAACGCCTCGAGATTTGCATCGGAGCCGCGCGCGGGCTGCACTATCTCCACACGGGCGCGAAATACACGATCATTCACCGCGACGTGAAGACAACAAACATTTTACTGGATGAGAAATGGGTGGCCAAGGTCTCTGATTTCGGGCTTTCAAAAATGGGTCCCACTACCATGTCTAAAGCCCACGTCAGCACAGTCGTCAAGGGCAGTATCGGGTATTTAGACCCGGAGTACTACAGACGTCAGCAACTATCAGAAAAATCCGACGTGTACTCATTCGGAGTTGTTTTGTGCGAGGTTCTTTGCGGCAGACCACCGATAATGCGCAACGCCAGGAAGGGAGAAGTAAGCCTATCCGAGTGGGCCCAACACTGTTACCATAACAGGACGCTTCATCAGATCATAGATCGTAATCTGACGGGCAAGATTGCGCCAGAGTGCTTAAAGAAATATAGTGAGATCGTGGTGACTTGTATGCATGATAATGGGACAGAGAGACCGTCGATGAACGATGTCGTGTGGGGCCTGGAATTTGCAATGCAATTACAGCAAAACGCGGAGGACAACGATGGGATTGGTGGGGCAATAATGGAGGCTAATGGTGAGGACGAAGTTGCATTCTTCAATAATAACAACAGTAGCTGGGACGGAACGTTCACTTGTAGCTGGGAAGAGTCATTGGGGTTGAGAAGTAGTGGGATGACTAAAATCAGTAGCTCTGAGCAGGGATCCACTACAGACGAGTCCATGAAAGGAATGTCTGGGGCTGTCTTCTCTGAGATCAAGGATTCAAAAGGAAGATGAACAGAGTAGGATACACATAAGTATATAAATAGTAACATAAGTTTTTCAAATTTCCTATCAACCTAATCGGTCTGTACTTTAGAGTTTGCGAAAGATCATCTGAGGTCTATATGATAGAAAGTTAGATGTATAATTCATGAATATTTACTAAGAAATAAGTTAAGTAACAGAGTAGCATATAATATTATTTGTGTTGTATTAGACACGTACGTACATTTAATACATGTATGTGAGTTTTTTTTTTAAGCTATGATAAGGGGAAAACAAAATAATGTCTCTATTCGGCCTTGCGCCATGCCTTTTTTTTAGCATAGTCACGCATGTATGTTTGTTAATTTGGTACTTAAATCGCAAAAGTAAGAAATCGCACGAATTTAAAGATTACATTTTTAAAGAGTAACAATTTCCAGAAATACAAAATGTTATAAATATTGAGCTCAGATTACTCCACGAGAAGTAATATATAAGTGCCCCAAAGTTTATGCTTAAACAGAGAATATTAAAGGCTATATATTTTTTTTTTTTTTTTGAGAAATTGGTAGATAGGTCAATTGTTAAAACCTTTGGAAGCAAATAACACATTTACGGAGAATTAGTAAATAATAGGCCAATTTTAGTTTCAACTTCTTTATTTTTTAACTTTACCCTTCTAAGTTTTAGCTTTTTTTGCCTTCTCCCGTTTCTTCATTCTTGTTCTCTCACAATCTCTGATTCTAGGAACTTAAAACACGATGAGAAATCACAATGCCTCTCGCCAGTCAATCCAACAAAACTCAGCAAATCATCTCTATAATAAAGCTTAAAAAGGCGATCTATGATTTTAAATACATTGAATTAGTGTAGAACTCGGATTTACAGTATGCTTTTCCGGAAATTTTACAGGACCAGAAACTCCAAATTTACAATCTGTTATATCTAGACTCAAATTGGGAAATAATACTCAGCCGCTTGAACGCGTTGAAATCGGCCTCGGATTCAGGATATATGCTCACCGTGATCAGAAGCAACGACAAGGGTTCGCGAGGCCGAGGAGGATCAACGGCGAGAACGATGCCGACGAGCATCGTTGATGTCGCTCGTCAAGGAGCCGATGTTGCAGACGTCTTCGACGGTGCTGATCATTTATCTTCCTTCAACGGAGATCAACGACAAGGCAGGGAGATCGAGAGTGAGAGAGAGGAGGAGAGAGAAAGTAGACTTAAGAGTAGAGAGAATAAATGAAAAACTGTTTTTTCATCGGGCTTCTGATCAAAGGGCATTTTCGGAATTCCAATTAAGTGTAAATCAAAATTTACATTTAAAAGGCCTATTTACTAACATTTTTTAAATCTTGGCCTGTTTATTTTTATTCCTCTTTTTTGTTGGTCTATTTTGCCCCTTCTCCTTTTTTTTTTTTCCTTTGGTGCGAAAAAGGCCATATATTTTATGAACTTTTGGTAAGTGGCCATATATTATTACTTGTCTTCCAGGGCATCTTCCTAATTTATTGCATGCCCGTAGACTAGTTGTAGTCTCAAAGTCAAGTCTTTGTCCTCTTTAGCAATAAAACAAATCTCCAAAAAAAAAAAAGTGAAAGAGAATTCCCTCGTCCTAGAAATGCTACCAAAAAGATGATGACAAATCACAGAGGAAAATCATTCACGAATCAAAAGTGGAATAGTATTGCAAAAACTTCTCATATTAAATTGGCCAATATCAATCACCTACCATTCGCTTTCGAAAGAGAATCTTTTAAAAAACGTAACATATATAATATAAATATATGTACCTTGAGTCTGGACAATATACTTTTTCTACGTTCAAACAAATGTGTTTAAAAATAATAATAATAAAGAGGATAAATGGTTGTAAATGGGTCTTAAAATTTCAAGATAAGCAATGATGTTGAAAGCACGTCTCATTGTAGACCAATTTGAACTAATTATTTCATGATTTTGATTTTTCTTGTTTATATAAATAATGGAAGTAGAATACCCAATCAAAGGAAAAAAAAAAAAAAAAAAAAGGAAAGAAAAGCGATAATAATTAGGGAAAAAAAAGAGCTTAAGAAAGTTCGTAGTTATTCGTAGTCATAAAAGGAAAAATAAGATTTTTTCTTCTTTGTTTGACACAAAGTATTCCCTCTATTATTATTGTTGTTGTTGTTATTAAAGTTATTTTTCTCTTTTATCTAATAAATTTGAGTATGAGGTGTTCAGTAGAGGATGAAAAGTCTTAGAGCTGCGTCAACGTAGTACTTGGGATGCTTTTACAAACTTCCCCATGTTACTAGATCTCTCCACAAACTTGATAACGTATTGTTAAAATTACATAAATTAATCAATGCCGAATGACCAAAAAATAATGCTAGAGTCATTATTTAGAGACCCAGCTAATTTTTTTTAGAAACAAAAAAATAATAATAATAATAAAGGACGGAAAGAGGCTTCGTTTTTACTTGATAAGAACTGAACAATTCTTCCAAGAAAAAAGTATACCGGGAGAAGCGGTGAAGAAATTATAGAGGAATTCACTACAAGAAAAAAGGTCATTTGCGGCGACTCAATGTCGTCGCAAATACCGTATTTTTGACGACATGTCGTCACAAATTAGTCGCCGCGAAAAACTCGTCGCAAATGATATATTTGCAACGACAAAGTTTTGATATGTTGTCACAAATATATTTGCGACGACAGTCATCGCAAATGTTCCGTCGAATATGTCGTCGATGATGACGTGTCATAAAAAATTTAGGATCCTGAAAAATTTTCCAAGACACATTCATTAGGAAAACATTTTAACAGAGAACACAATCCATTAAATTTTCGAATACATTCATTAGAAACGATTACAAAACGTTAAAAAAAAAAAAAAAAAAAAAAGAGAGAGAGAGAGAGAGAGAACACAATCCATAAATTACTACACAATCCATAAATTACTACATAAACACAATCCATATCTTCCGGAAGATATCCATAAGTTAACCAGATCTTGACCTTTGTCTCTGAGAAAAGAAAAAACCAGGGAAAAAAAATTCGTGAACAATTGTTATGTAATCATAAAACTTATAAAAGAAAATAAAAGCATTAAAAAGAAAAATTATCACAGTCTGAACATAAAAGCGTTAAAAACAAAAAACAAAAATGAAAGAGAAGATTACTCTTGGAAGCTTTCTTCTTGAACATGGACTTCAGATTTCGCTTCCCGAGATTCCCATTGCAGAGACCAAAAAATTCTGCACAAACAAACATTGGACATTAGTTATAATATTGTTGATTTTGAAGAGAATATAAAGAGATTTTAAGATTTTAGAGTGAGAAAATAAGAGAAAACAGTGAGAGGTCGAGTGAGAGAGAGAGAGAGAAGCCGATTGGAAAAAATGAAGGAGGCTCTGTTTGCGGGCACATAACAAACTTTTGTGCGACGACATTGAGGATTATTTGCGACGATATCTCGTCGCAAAAATAACTTAACATTATTTGCGGCGACACTTCATTATTTATGACAACAAATGTTGTGGGAGGAAGGTTCTGGAATTCTTATTTGCGACAACAGTGTAATGTCGTCGCAAATAATATTTTGGTCACCTGCCCACTTTTCCCGCCTTCTATTTTGCTGAGGGAATTCAAAATCATTTTTTGCGACGACACATAATGTCGTCGCAAAAAAATTTCGCCACCCGCCAAAATAATCTTTTTTGCTCGGGGAAAAAAAATAAATTAAATTTTATTCACGACGATATATGTGGTCGCAAATAATAAACTATTGGCGATGACTTGTCGTCGCAAATAATGTTATTTTGACGGTAAAAGTTCGCGCCATACGAGATCTGGCGCCAAGCCATTATTTACGATGACAAGTGGCATTTTTGCGACGACATTATTTTTCCAGTTCGACGAACATATTTTGGACTACATGTCGTCGCAAATATTCACTTATTTACGACGACAATTGTTGTCACACTAAATTGTAATACTCAAAATTGCATCCTGCAATGCTAGGGATTTTGATTTAATAAATGGAAATTAAAATAAGCTTTCCTTTTCAGCAACACTTGTAGATTATTTGCATACACGCAACCACACAAGAGCCCGCGATGAGCAATATTGCAAATTAAAGACATTATATATATATATATAAGCTAGCGTAAGGGACGTCACCGGCGAGGTGTTCTTGATGTAGACTTCGCCGACAAGGCTCGCCATAATTTTTTGGGATGCTATTGATCGTGGTTGTGGACTTGTGGTGCTGTAAATTGTTTCTTGATTCGCTGTATATTAGTGTTTGTGGAATCTGGTGTGGTCTAGTATTTTGTTGGGAAAAGGAGTGAATAATTTCTAAGTATTGAGATGTTTAGTTTGATAAACATTTGATTGTTCCAGATCTGATACTTGAACCACAAAGTGGAAAAGTTAGTTTGGTGATTTGAGCTTTGAGTCGTTGGGATATAATGTTTATATTCTTGATTTCATCTTTAGATTTCTTACAGAATGGACATTCCAATTTGGTGATTTTTTTAGGGGCGAGAGTAATCTTGCGTTTCCTGGGATTTTTTTTTTCCGAGAAAGTTTTCAATCAGATAATATTTTGTCCAAATTTAGCTGGGGTTTCGACTCTGTGATTGTTCATAATTACTTGAATATGAGTTTGTTCATAATTTTTTTTGAATCTGTCTTTGATCTGAGTTCTGAGTTTGTTCAGATTCGATCTTTTAGATTGATATACTTTAAAGATAGTGTTGCCCAATTATATGATTTAATATTTATTATTTTTGTTATAGCCTTTTTAATATTTTATGTTTTTTATCCTGATTTAGAGGAAAGGTAAAAAGGACATTTTAGATTCTAAAAATTGATCCGAAGGTATTAATAAAATGTTTTTTAGAATGTTAAAATACTATTTTAATACCATAAAAAAAACATAAAGTATCAAGAATATCTTTCGCTATAATACATGGTACTAAAATGATTTTATTTCTATATAAATTAGTAAATAAAGACCTGCTTTTAAAAACGAAACTAATTGTTTGGAGTAATCTTGACTTAGAGGTCTATTTTCCGGTTTTTCCGGTTCAGTTTGCTTATTTTACAATGGTGATGATAAACCAGTACTACATAAGAGAGTACAAATTACGATCACACATAAACACACACACACACACACACACAAAAGTAATTAGTAGGATAGATCTTTCGAATTATCAAATAAATTCAGCTTCTTCTTTTTTTTTTTTTTTTGTGACATCACATTTTCGTTATAGCAACTTG